GTACACATGATTTACAGGTAAAAGCCATAGTTTTCTCTAAATATAATTTTTTGTCAAACAATAGCCATTAAGGCATTCAATGTAATGATAATTATACAGTGAAATATACAAAACACAATAGAAATGATAAAAACACTAAAAACCATTGCTCACTTGAGTTGAGTTGGGTTTTGTTAGTTCACCATATTTTATTTTCAATTAAAATGTCCAATAATAGCAATTTGGCGATAAAGTTGTATATAGTGTACAAATAGCGAGAGAAACTGTAGACTGTATGGCGATATATACGGCAAACAATAGGTTCAAAGCCGATAAACTGGCACTGTATACTAACATAGTTTACCATAATTTTCTGATCCATTACTTACTTCTCTCTATCTTTCTAATGGTTTTTAGTGTTTTTATCATTTCTATTGTGTTTTGTATATTTCACTGTATAATTATCATTACATTGAATGCCTTAATGGCTATTGTTTGACAAAAAATTATATTTAGAGCAAACTATGGCTTTTACCTGTAAATCATGTGTACTGTATAACCCCTTTACTATAAAGTACACCATATGATTAGCACCCGAACTTGTATGCACAGGTAGTTTTTATGTATTAACTTTTACAGGCAATACCTGTTTGTGTTTGTGTACTGTCTGACAATGTCTATGCGTATAGTGTACTGAAAACCGATAATTTTTAATTCTCATTCCCTACTAAATCAAGTAGAAATTGTTTTATTTGTTTTCACATTTGATTTATTGCTTTAATAGACAATTGAATTGAAAATTATTACATGAAATAAAAAATTTAACGTAAATTTTATTTTTATTGCTTTTTTATCCCCTCGTCTTAACATTTAAATGTAAAATACATTTTTGCAATTAAATTGCAAAAATATACAACATTTTCCTTTCGGTCAAAAGGGTCTCAATATATGCGCGAAAAAATTTATCTAAAAGTTTTTTAAATGATATTTTTTAATTAGCATTAAATTAACTTTTATTTTATCTGTCATTATCTAACAGGTTATCGGATGAGAGGCTATACGATAGGGAAGGCCTGCGGGGAACAGGCGGTGGAGGCGGCGGTTCGGTGAACAACAACTACGACCGACTGGCGGACACCCGAGAGAGTCCGTACGGCATAAAGAGAAATATCGGCGGCTATTTGGACGACACCAACGACTACCCCAATAGAAGCCGATCACGTGATAGACACTTTAGTCGTAGCATTAGTAACAATAATAATAATAATTACGGCGACGGACTCGACAGGTATGTGTGACCACTCATTTCCACTTAACATGGGTGGCCACTGACCACCCGTTCAGCGCAAACACACGCAAACAATATTACCATTGCATACAATATTGCATACTTTAATGTTTGGTATATTTTGTAAGTTTTGGGCTAAATTATGCTAGATGAAAACTCAGAGATACTTAGAGAGGTTGGGGGTACAGTACCACCACAGTATTGTGGTCATGATTTAGGTATTAGTAATAAGTGTAAATGGCCAGAAAGTGTGAAGTTACCAATGTGACGATGATAATTTAGAAAGTTTTTGTAGTACTAAAAGTGAGCCCTAGAGGCCGCTCACTGATGGGCCACTACTTATAAATGCTAACCCAAAACCCAAAATAGTTTGGGTCAGGGATGATATGCTAATCAAATATTGATTGGGTTTAATACAGTGTTATCTATAAGTTTGTAATAAATTCTGGTTATTATTATTTCATCCCTTAATAAAGAAAAGTAATTTGCATTTTCGCTATAATTGTTTAGCCATTCATTATAACGAGTATTAGTGCACTAATAATGTAATGCAATACAAAACACTCCAATACACAAACTGACAGATAGTGTACACTTATATTGAGTTTATAATCTAATTGTTAGTTAATTTTGTTGTATAGAAAAGTCAATACAGAAGTAAATAATAAAAACAAATGAAATAAAACTTTTAAATTTAATTACAATGAACTCAGCCTTTCTCTCTCTCTCTCTCTCTCTCTCTCTCTCTCTCTCTAAATTAAATTACATGAAATTAAATTAATCTTGTTGCAATCGTTGTTTTAACGCACATCTGGGTTACGATTGGGCACTAATAACAGCCGAGCGACACATTTCCGGGCGTACGGCCACCGAAACAATAGCCAAACCCCCTTCGATGGCCCCCAACGGGGCTACCCGTCGGTCGGTTCTGACCAGTTGTTGGACCAATTGGATCAGTTGCCGCCCAACGTTAATAGTAATACCTCGACCACGAGCTCCACGGGTGGCGGCAGTGGTGGCCAACGCGGCGGCGGCGCCGGCAGTGGCGGCACAATAGCGACGGGAATGTCCGGACGGCGTATGACTTCGGCGTCGACGACGGCCAGCGGCGGCGTCTCGTCGACGGTCTCATCGCCGCCGTTGAAGAAGAAGCGGAACAAGAAGAAGAAACCCAAGCGATCGTCACTGCGCTCGCACTCCGCCTCTCCGTCGCCCTCCCGCTCATCGTCGCTGAGTTCGGCCCGAAGTCATTCGCCCTCTTCCTCATCAAACATATCGTCGTCCAGCCCTAGCAGTCGCAGTCCATCGCCCGCCAAATCCCAGTCCCCACTGTATGTATTGATCACTTGATTCACTCACCACTTGTGGTGATCGCCATCTGATTGTCTGTCTATTTGTTATAACTAATGATATGTTTAATGTCCTGTTTTTACAGATCATTGTACAGCCGAGAGCGCAAAGAGCGGGGCGCCGGTGGTTTGGGCGGTTCGGTCATATCGGCCGCCACCACAACCAACAACACTATCATCAGCACCTCATCTCAGGGTTCAAATCACACGCCACTGCATAACAGCGGCGCCACTCCCGGCTCCGACAGCTCGGCCGACAAAGACGACACCCGGCCTCTGGCCATATGTGTCCGCAACTTACCGGCGCGATCTACAGGTGTGTATTGTGTCTAAACATATTACATAACGTCTATTACATATAGTCTCTATGTTTAATAAACATTGTTTATAGACTTTATGTTGGATTTTAGCCATAATTTTAATGATATTTTTTCTATTAAATAATTAAATTCACGATATTTTTTGTTAATTCATTTATGTCTGAGATATAAATCATTTGTTATTTGTATTAATATTAATGATTGTGTGTTTTATCTCCCCGTCCCCTCTCTGTCTGCCCACAAACATAGACTCGAGTTTAAAAGATGGTCTGTTCCACGAGTACAAGAAGCACGGAAAGGTCACAATGGTTAAGGTTGTGGGTCAGGGCTCCGACCGGTTCGCTGTCGTGTGCTTTAAAAAGCCCGAAGACGTTGACAAAGCGCTCGTAGAGTCAAAGGTTAGTCTGACGAACATATATCCAATTGGTATCCACTCTCTCCCCTCCCTCTAGTGCTCTCTCTCTCTCTCTCTCTTTCTCATATTGAATTAATATTACATAAAACCATTGCTCACTTGAGTTGAGTTGGGTTTTGTTAGTTCACCATATTTTATTTTCAATTAAAATGTCCAATAATAGCAATTTGGCGATAAAGTTGTATATAGTGTACAAATAGCGAGAGAAACTGTAGACTGTATGGCGATATATACGGCAAACAATAGGTTCAAAGCCGATAAACTGGCACTGTATACTAACATAGTTTACCATAATTTTCTGATCCATTACTTACTTCTCTCTATCTTTCTAATGGTTTTTAGTGTTT